TGGACCTTCCTGGTCATTCAGGGTTTAATCCAATCACCTGACCTGTTGTCATACTGGTGGGTCAGCGTGACACACTAGTTTGTCTCGTCCTTGTCGTAAGCAGCGAATCACTGGACTTTGTTTTGTGATGCTAGTAGCTCTGCCCTAAATCGTACTGTTACATTGTCCTATGGACATAAAACAGAAGAGGAATGGAGTCACGTGGGTCGCTTTGAAACTGGAAACAGAAAATGTAGCGTACCGGACTGCACCGACCTGTGTGGTGTAGCTGAAATGATGCATGTGATGTTGAAGGTAAGTTTGTTCTAAAACAACCAAAAATCATTTCATCTTATGTGCTATGAGCTACTAATAGCTTGGAGTCCACAAGCATCCTTGGTTTATAAACCAAAACCACTAGAAAATATGTGCATTGTCTGTGACGGCGGCTCTCTAAGGCCGAAGCACTCATGGTCACATTTAATGAAGATTGTTTGTGAGACTTACATCCCACAACTCCAGCCTAACTGGAGGTTTTCTGCCTCGTTTTTTTTATTTTTTATTTTTTATTTTTTTGTCTTTTAAACAAAGACTTTAAAAGATTCAACAAGTTTAAAAAGTGAAATCTATTAAAAGCCTCCATGGTGTAAAAAAGCATTGACAAAGAGCACTGCTTCGTGCATGCCCCGCTGTGGCTTTCTGTGCTCAAAGCCAAAACTAATTGAGCATTTTTTTTTCTGGATTGTCCCACATTTGTATTTATTACCAGAAAACCTCAAATATAAGCAGACAAACACAATAACTAGATGGAAAACAAAACATTAACTTTGTCAAGAAACACACGGGCTACCAGTATGTCGCCTAATGCTGCTTACACAGGATCTTATTTTATTTTATTTCATGTTTAATAAGTAAGTATTGCCACCTGCTGGTGGAACATGACTTTAAATCTCTGGCACTGAAAGCTGAAAGATGGCTGCCTTTTTTCCCGGTGGACTGACCTTTACGTGTTTTGTTCAGTCAAGTTGAATTTATTTGAACAGCATATTTCAGCAACAAGGCAATTCAAACTGCTTTACATGATAGACTGTTGAATAAATAAGCTTTCTGGAAAAAGGCACAATCAGTGGCCCAGCGCAAATCAAAACACACTGGGTTGTTTTTGCCACTTGCGCCGCTCTGGAGAGCCAGCAACTTATCCGAAGCACAAGGGTGACGCAGAGCAATCTATGAAAGTTGGGGATATGTATTCCAGTGAAGCCAGCAGTGCGCAGCCTTTAATACGGTGGAAAATAAACAACCACTTCACAAGTGTATGGCATGACACCAACATCATCAATTGTCTGCTTCACACTCTTTCAGCCTTTCATTAATTTAGAATAAAAGTCAGAAAATTCATCCAGGACTACAAGCACCCCTTTCTAATTCCCTTGGTCTCTGTCCAAAACCAACAACTTTCCAGTTCAATTCAAATATTTGAAAAGCTCTTTCCATACATAACGCTACTGTCAGTCTCTAAGCTAAAACATCCACCGCATGCTTTAGAGGTGGAAAAAAGGTGCGGTTTGGAAAATGAGCCCACTAATGTGTGCATGTTGGCAAACACAACACAGGGAAGATCAATCAAGTGATCCGGTCTCCCCACTCTCCTCTCCTCCTCTCCGCCTCTCTCTCTCTGTCTGTGATTTGAATGCGCTGTGAGCTGCTGGGGCACAGAGAGGCGCAGCCTGCCTTTCTGACCAGCAACCTGGTCCAACGGTTCAGGGGAAAACTGCCACAAGATGGAGAAAGATGCCAACATAAGCCTTGGACTCATTCATATCTCATCATTCTCTGGTTCTCTGCTAGAGTCCAGTGAGGAAGGTGCAGCTACTGTCCAGAAAAAAAAGAAACAAAAAAAAAAACAAAAACGAACTGACCATTGAATGTAAATAACAACTTAGATGATGCATGCCTCTGTCATGAAATATGTTTTCTCCTCCTACTAACTTTACACAAAGTGCAGAGACACAAGTCCCAGAGAATAAAGCTCAGGATTGCATTAAGGCTTTTCTTTTGGTCTTAATCTAGCTAAATTGCTAGATTAAGGCAGATTTGGGGTCTTAAAGCTGGCGAGACTTTCCCCATCTATTTTCATGTCACTCCTGCAATATTAGTGCTATTTCAAGCATATTTTAAAACAATCCGGTAGCCATCGGGTCTTCTATTTGCAAAATGTTCAATTTTTAAACATATTTTACATATTTTGGCAATACATTTAAATAGATATGAAAATGGACAACCTTTTAAATCTTTGAAACTCATTGCGTTCTTAAGGACTCTCTACTTTTCCTGGGTTTCAGCTTGACACACAATGAAAACGGGTGAAATGACATCGGGCCAATCTGAGGTTCTATGGCTTTTTATTACAAATGTTTCCTTTTTTATTTAATCGCACTTTAATTTCCATTAGATTTTTTGATCAAACACAACAAATTTCTGCCATATCATCAACATCACATCAATAATTCATTAACATTACATCATTAATTTATTCTCCTCTTTTACATAGCATGACTTTAAGCAACAGTTTCTAATGAAGTTTGAGCTTCAAAAGCATTTGAATCCAAACCAACTTGTATTAAACCCCAATTAACCACATTGTCCACGTTTTTGACATCAGGACAATAAAATCAAAACATTTATTGTCTTTAAACCTTTGACCTTTGATCTACTATGTTTTATCAATTTTAGGTCAATTTGCCTATGGGCTAAATTGAAATGCATTTAATTTCTGTTTATTTTAACTTTGCCTTTTCAACATCTGACAGCAGTGTGACCTCTTGCTTCTGCTAAAAGATAAACTTTTTTAGCAGTTTAACTCTTAGCTATTTTAATATGTTTGCTCATTTTTACAAGTAACAATTTCTGCTCTTCTCCAGCGCACCCAGAGTAAATTGTCACAGATTTTGTTTTTTTTTAACACTTTTTGAGTCAAGTAAAAATTTGACTCTGCGTGAACAGTTTCTAAGTGTAGAGCTGTGCATCTTTGCAGCATTCATTGCTATCTAAATAAACCGCACACTGTCAGCAAAGACCGGCTGTCCACTTCTTTCTGAAGGATGTTCCCCCCTGATTGGAGAACATGAGGTACAGGACACATTCATGCTGGACGAGGCAGAGCCAGCGCCAAGGGCGTTGTTTATTCCCACTCTGGAGTGCTGCCCCGAAGCTCCATAGCAGCTCAATACATCAATTTTCAAGCACAGACACATCCACAAATTCCCCTGCCCACAAAAGATGGGGAAGGTTATGTGAAGGATGTAGCTGAATGTCTGTTCTCAAAGAGCCAATTCCCCTGGTCCCTGCTTAGTCTATTCCCATTCCCTTGCCCTTTAGTCGCTTAGAGAACCTTATGTAGAGCCAAGTCTCTCTATCTTTCAAACCACCACAAAGACGATGACTTTGTGGGAGAGAGTGACACCTCCCAACATGCAGCTCACGCAAACGTAAGACGAGTGGATAATCAGGGTCTGCTGAAGCTCTCCTGTTAGTGTTATTTATCATCTGCATGTGTAGCATCGTCTGTCTGCAGCCACATCCTCAACGCTGGACATTCATCAGGAGTAAAGGCTTTGAAAAGCCTTTACTCCTGATCTAATTTCCATGTTTTTCCATTTCATTCCAGTGTATAATTTCATCTGAATAATAAAAAAAGGGCATTAAAACAAGCATAAAAATGTGATGCGCTCTGACCCTTCCTTTGAAAAACAAAATCTCATAACGAGATCTGAGATGGAAGGATTCTATTGCGTTTTAATGATGGAAAAGATAATACTAAGAACAATAAATGACAAATATTAACAAGCAACATCTACATACTGTATTGCCCTTTTGCATTTTTTTTTTTTTTATATATATGTGCACACGCCAGTGGAGTCCTTCCAACAGGATGGGAATAGTGTTTCCAAACCAAATTACTGCATTTCTTTAAACCTGGGGATTGTTGCTAAAGCACAATCCCACAGAAAGAAATCTGGAAAATCCAATCATTAATGTTTACACAATGGGGTAAAGAAGTGGATGTTGATAAGTAATTATTTTATTAACAAAGTTACAGGTGCCATGGTTAATGATTCCCCCTATAATCTTTTTCAATAAATACAATTTATAATTGCAACATGACAAGGAGACCTTTAATTTACCCTCTGGACACAAGACTGAACCGGGACTCGCGCTTATCTTTCTGATGATGCTGGTAAAAGTGGTAAAAGTAATTCAGAGCTTGGTGATATGAAACCACACAAACAGAAAGGAATCTGAAAGTCACGTCGTCTCCAAAGAGTGGTTTGTAAGTGATTCCAGAAATAAAAGCCCTTTTTGTCCAACCATCACAAATATAAACATGGAGTTTTCTAAACCGTACTAGGACTATACTGGAAGACTATGCTGTTGTAGAGGTAAAAAAAAAAACAACAACAAAGAAAACAGGTTGTATTTGTATTAAAGCGCCTCACACACACTGTAGTGTATAGTGGAGGGTCAATGATGCCTTTTTCTCACCCAGAGGCCCAAAGGAGGCTTATTAGTATGCATGGCTTTATGAAACCGTTGAAAAACCAGACAATTTTAGACAAAAAACACTATGCATGTCTTCATTTTTCCCAAATTAGGATGATAATCCAAACCATGTAGCAAAATCAACTTAGAAAATCAATCTTCTCTCAGTCGTTTCGACAGAATCCCGCAGACATACGGGGGATTGGTCGACGGGTCGAGGGAATAAGACAAAAACAAGGAGTGGATATTTAGGATAGTCTAAGCAAAGGAAGAAAAGTCACCGATCCTCCTATATAAGCTTCAGCCACGTTAATGAGAATTTTTTTCCACTTAAAAAGTAAACTCAAATTAAAGATTGGATCCATTAAGTGCTTCAATGTAAAAATATTATTGTTATATAAGAGGTGTATTCTTATTTTCTGGCTTGGCACTTCTTGATAAACATGTCTGGTACTGTATGTCTATCTGATTATTGTGCTAACCTGTGATCCTCGGGAGCCTCTCTTGTGGTCCCATTCTGAACGGGAAAGCAT